AAAGTGAGGCACTTGAACAGGTTATCCCAAAAAATTGTGGATGCCCATCCTTGGAAGTATCCAAGGCCAGGTTGGGCAGGGCTTGGAGTAGCCTGGTCTCATGGAAAGTGTCCCTGCCCATGGCAGGGGGTGGAACGAGATGATCCCAAAGTTTCCTTCCAACCCAAACCATTCTGTGATTCCATTCCATGATTCCATGATCTTCCCTCCATCCTCTCTGTCCCTATTATTCCCTTGTTTCTACCACCACACCAATTTCTTGGACAAAAATTGATGATCCCAAGCTTTGCTGGTGCTCTCCCAGATGTCCAAGGTAATCCTTGAGCATCCCAATTAATAGTCACAATCCAGGATCTGTCCAGCATCTGTGACTGYTCATTGGGATATTCTCAGATCCAGACAATGCCCAGTTTGATTTTTTCTGTGTCTGTCTATGGAGCTATGTTACGAATTTTTTAATTTCTATTTATTTCCTCCTTATGCAAGGACATTTTCCTACCTCCCTCCTCGCCGAGCAGATTCTGCAGGGGAGGAACAGGTGGTGGCTTGTTTGGTTTTCTTTTCAGAGAGCAACACAAATCCTCTGAGCTGAATTCATCCARGATCGTGAAATGTGAGACTAAAAACGGTGCTTCCTCCTAGAGATGGATTTCACAAGTGTCAGACGCAGAATTAATGCAAACAAAGCATCAGGTCACGATGGGCAAAGCGAGAAAATGAAGTTTGCTTTGAATAAAAGCAGGAAAATCTCTGTGTTTGTTTAGAAAAGGGCTTYTCTGCCTCATTACTTGGGATGGTGTCTATTTTCATAGCGTGGCTTGTTTGCCTGAGCCTGCTGAGATCCCACTGGAGCTGTGCTGAGAGCAGCCAAATCATTCCTCCTTTTCAGGGGGATTTAAGGGAGTTTCAGCACAAATGTCACAGACAGGGTGACAAGGGCTTCCCAGRCCAAAGAGGGGCTGCTGGGCTGGGATGGCACCAAAATGCATCCCTGTGGTTGTAACACACACTTTGAGGAATCTGCTGGGGGTGGAAAAGAGGACCCAGAGGAGGCAACCWGATCAAGTGTTGGGTTCCTCAGAAAAACACACAGAGAGCAAAATACCCTGAAAGCTTGTCCAAAAAAGGCTTTTTTTTTTGGTAGACACTGTTTTGATTTGATATCTTTAGCTTGCAGTGCTCTGTGCCACAACAATCTGGGCTCTTCAGTGTTTTTTGCTAAAATTTCTCCATCTCAGAAGACTTCAGGCACAAAAAGATTTGAGTTTGTGGTTATTCTGTGGTTGTAGGAGCTGAGAGGCACCTGCAGTGCTCAAGGGCTTTACAGCTTAACAGGGGTAAGGAACATCTCTGAACTGGTGAGGGATGAGGCAGGAGGAGCTGGCTCAGGATAGATTTGGAATCTTGAGTGCCAAATTTTGTTTCTGTGGTCTCTGTCTAGAGCAGAACGTGTCCTCATGCAATCCATTCACRGAGCTGCTGTCAGGTTTAATGCTTCCCTGTCAGGGTGGGGAGGCCCTGGCACAGGTTTTCCCAGAGAAGCTGTGGCTGCCCCATCCCTGGAAGTGTCCAAAGCCAGGCTGGATGGGGTTTGGAGCAACCTGGGATAGTGGAAGATGTCCTTGTCCATGGCAGGGGTGGAACTGGAAGTTTTTAAGGTCCTTTCCAACCTAAACCATTTTATAATATAAAATAACCCCTTGCCTTCTTCACAAACCCAGAATCTCAGAACGAAGGGAAAGATTGTGTTTAGTTTGGTTCTTGTGGCTCAGTGGATTTGATGGAGACAAATTCCTTGTCTGGAACATCCTCCCAGCCTTTGGGAAGAGCTGGCAGAGTGGACAGCACCAGWGAAAATTCTTCCTGTTGCGACTACCATTCAAATCTGACTTTTTTGTGTGTGTGTATCCAGATTCTTCACCGAGGGGATAAACCTGACCAAATAAATCTGACCTGATAAACTTCTGTGATGAAGTGTCTGACCTGGTAGACAAGGGATGAGCTGTGGAWGTTTTCTACCTGGACTTCAGGAAGAACTTTGATGTTCTCTCCTGTAAGATCATGGAATCAGGGAATGGTTTGKGTTGGAAGGGACCTACAARTCATCCRGTTCCATCCCCTGCCATGGACAGGGACACCTTCCACTGTCCCAGGTTGCTCCAAGCCCCATCCAACCTGGCCTTGAACACTTCCAGGGATGGGAAAGTCYACAACCTCCTTSAGAARCCTGTTCCAAGATCCTCATGGATGTACATGGGCTGGATGAACATCTCTCTTCTGAGGAAAAGGTGGAACTTCTCAGGCTGGAGAAGTAAAGGTTCAAATTGGGAATCCTATAAATGTCTGTAAATTCCTGAAGGGAGGGAGCAAAGAGGACAGAGCCAGGYTCCTTTCAGTGATTCCCAGTGCCAGGACCAGGCAAAGGACAGAAACTGAAACACAGGAAACACCAGGAAAAACTTTATGATGGTGAGGGTAAGTGAACATTGGCAGAGGTTTCCCAGATCAGTTGTGGAATGTCCATCCTTGGAGATATTAAAATCCCATTTGGAGACACTCCTGGAAAAGAGGGTTTAGCTGGTCCTGCTTGAGAGGAGGGATTGGACTCATGGAGCTACAAAGGCACCTTCCAACCTCTACCATTCTGTGATTCTGGGAGTTTGGGAGTATGGGATCTCTTTCTGGTGCTTTACTAAAGTCAAGGAGAGACGTGGATGGAGAAAACAGAGAAATAAATCAGCCCAAGGTCTTTCCTGGGTCACAGAGTCTCCTGTGTGTGGCTGTGTCTTGTTTCACTCATTACAAGGGGTCTGAACCCGATATGAGGCTATGTTTTGACCACCAGATCTTCTCATTCTCACCTGACCAAACAGGTTCTATTATTTCATTCCTGTTCTCAGCACGAGTTTTTTTGAAAATCCCTCCTGAGAGGTACCTGGAGGGGCACAGACAGAATCCAACCTGAGGCCATCCTCATGTTTTACATCCTCCTGTTTTCCCTCCTCACAGGACACTCCTTGCAGTGTTATACGTGCAAGGAATTGACCCCCATTGAGAAGTGCCTGACAGTTGAGAACTGCACAGAGGCTGAGACCATGTGCAAGACTACCATGTATTCCCTGGAGGATGGTAAGAAAAATTCCTTCTTTATCCATGCTTTTAAATCAGAATTTCAACAGTGCTGGTGTAGAGAGCAGTTCCTCTTTCCACTTAAATGTAGAAGGGAGCTCCTGTGGGAGCTCCAGTGCTCCTGTTCTTGTGGAAAACAGCATTTTTGGGAGGGAATATTTGGTGAGTGCAAGCTCCTGGTTAATGCTCAGAAATAAGCTTTAAAATTTTTAAAAGGCTGTGTACTGATAGGACAACASGGAATGGCTTGRAACTTAAAGAGAGGAAGTTYAGATTGGATATGAGGAAGAAATTCTTCCCTGTGAGGGTGGGGAGGCCCTGGCACAGGTTGTCCAGAGAAGCTGTGGCTGCCCCATCCCTGGAAGTGTTCAAGGCCAGGCTGGATGGGTTTGGAGCCTCCTGGGATAGTGGAAGGTGTCCCTGCCCATGGCTGGATGTTGGAATTTGATGACCTTGAAGGTCCTTTCCAACCCGTTCCATAATTCTATGACACCAACTCCTGGTCATCACAAGACAAAAGAAAATGGTGATGCCTCACTAGGACAAGGACAGCTCCCCTCTATTTCTCCCAATCCTAATTATTCCCTTTTTTCCCTCTCTTTGCTGTAGTTTATCCCTTCACGGGAGTCTCAACTGTCACCAAGATGTGCTCCTCTGAGTGTGTCCCCTCTGATGTGGATGGCATTGGGATGACACACCCTGTCACCTGCTGCTTCTCTGACCTGTGCAACGTCGATGGCGCAGCGAGTCCGAGGATCAGCTCGGTGCCAGTTGGGATCCTGGCAAGTTCCCTCTGTGCCTTTTTCTGGACTAGACCATGAGGGGATGGTGGGGGTTGCTCATTCTGAAGAACTCCATGAAGAAAACAAACTCTCACCAGCTCAGCTTTTCACGTGGACGCCTCATGAACAACCCTCAACAGATCCCAAAAATTGGGTTTTTTTCAGCATCCACCCTTTTCCCACAACCAAGAGAGAAGCAAAACTCAGTAAGGCCCAACACATTTTTTAAATTGATTTCTCGACAACTCCCACATAAGTAATTGTGGAGTTTCTTTGCTGTGCTGGTCTGGTTGGGTTTGAAGTAAAAAAAAATTCAAATGTATGAAGTATATTTAAGGCAAAAAAAACTTGATAAGAGCCTTCCCTACRTCCTTAGAGCAGGCCCTCTCCATCCCATCATTTTGTGCTGTTTTTCCTAAATCTCCTTCTTTATACCCAAAATATTAAGAAGACATTTCTCTGTCCAAAATATGAGGCAGKAGCTTGAACTTCCCATGCCAATGATCTGATCCAGGGAGGTTAAAATCTTGTGTTCTCTGTACCCTTYTGAGCAGAATAAAAAGAATCTTGTGTTAAAACAGAGGTCACACTTCATTATCCTTTTTTTTATTCCCAAGCTCCTCCTTTCAGTATTCTTTATACAGAGATGATTTAGGTTTTGTGGTGAGTCTYACAGCAGATGGATGAGACATTTCCATTATGTCTCACTGGAAGTGTCCTTCTATCAACTCTCCTTGCACAAATTTATCTTTACTGGGAATATTGAATGATTTGTATGATGGCTTCTCCCTGAATTTGGAGATCAGTGGAATGATTTTCCCTCTGACTTTAATCTTCCACGTCATCATCTGCAATTCCTTGTGTGTTGGTCACATTTTGACATATCCTGATCTGGTTCTGCATTTAATCTTCCAGGTCATCATCTGCAATTCCTTGTGTGTTGGTCACATTTTGACACATCCTGATCTGGTTCTGCATTTTCTTAGAATTCCCTTTCCAAGCTCCAGCTAAAATATCTTCCTCCAAATATCACCCTGCTTGTGATTTTTGCGATAATCAATCAAGATGTGATGTAAAGTCTTCCATGTGGCACATGTTTCCAAGAGAGGTGGCACAATTCCCATCCTTGGGAAGTTTTCATGGCTTGGATGGATGAAGTCCTGAAAAAATGTGGGCTGTCCTCAGAATTAGGAGCTTGGATCAGGAATTTGGATTAGGAACATTCTGAGGTTCCCTTTCCAACCTGAGCTCCCTGTAAATCATGATGGGATAGTTGGAAAACAAACCCCTGGGATAGTTGGAACACAAACACCAATATTTCCAGGCATTCTACAAGGAATATAAACTAGGAAAAAATTCTTCCCTGGGAGGATGGTGAAGCCCTGGCACAAACAACMCAGAGAAGCTGTGGCTGCCCCATCCCTGGAAGTGTCCAAGGYCAGGTTGGATGTGGTTTGGAGCACCCTGCGATAGTGGGAGGTGTCCYTACCCAKGRCAGGGTTTGGAATGAGATAATCTTGAAGATCTCTTCCAACTCAAASCATTCCATGATTCCATGAAACTCTGAGCCTCTTTGGTGGGGATTTCTCCAGCTCTGCCAATGCCACAAATCCTGGAGCCAAGGGGGTTGACTCAAAAGGTGCCACCTGGGAGAAAACCGGGAAATCCCAACACTGTCCTGCAATTTAATTTGCGGCAAGCGGTGAAATTGTTCAGTGCCCTTCAACCTTCCTATTGATGATTTTCTTGAATCGCTGAGATTTTTTGAGGTCCCCACCCTCCAAAAATCATCAGACACGGCTGATTGCAGCCACCCCTCCGTGATTGAATGGCGCGGCTCCGTAGCCGTCATCGCTTTGAGGAGCCGCACGCGGAGGAGCTGATCCTCCCCTCCTTTCATTGGCCACGGCTGCCTCACCCCTTTGATCTCTGGCCAGTTYGGCAGCATGTTTCCCACATTCCAGCTGTTCCTGGCAGGGATCACAGCTCTGGGGAGAGATCTGCTCTGAAAGGCAGAAAATCTGTGTGGGTGAGGCTTTGGAGTTGCTCCCTCCAGAACAAAGYGGAGCTCTCCAACCACAGGTGATGCTTCGTGGTTAAATATCAATCCAAACCTCTCAGTGATTTGTACCTTTTCTGATACTAAAATTAATGTATTAATACATTAGCTCTGTTCCACCTGGTGTGAAACTGTCCTCACCTTCCCGCTCCTGGAAATGTCTCTGATTATTTTTTTCCCCCCAAGAGCCACAGAAAGATTTTTTTGGGTTCATTTTTGCTGAAGTTTCATTCCCTCCTCATCCAGTTGACCTCAAGACCCATCTGTTTTTTCAGATCCTCCTCACTCCTGGGGACTGTTTGAAGCTCTCCCTGGAGATTTCCCTGTATTTATTTAGGAATGAGTCTTTTGCTCCTTTTTTTTTTTTTTTTTTTTTTTCTCCCAAGCTCTCCAATCCCTTGGATTTGCCTCTTGTCCTTCCACCATAANGCCTCTTGTCCTTCCACCATAAATCTTTGGAAGAGTTTGGCTCAATCTTTTCTAGACCGTCTTTGAAATTTTGGGAGAGAACAGCAGCTCATGTTTCACACATGGCAAGGAGAACTTCAGGTAGAGATGGAAAACTTGTCCAAAAGCTGTCTGAGGAAATGAGGCTGGACTTTCCTTGGTCAGGCTGGCTTTGGAGCATCATCCATCCTACACCTTCCTGATAGTTGTATGGAGCTGGGATGAGTGCCACCTMATTTTTTGTTAATGGGAAAAAATGAAGCGATCTGTGTTTTCCTCTGAGCTCAGCTCAGGCATTAATTTTTTATAGAACAACCTGGCTGTGGTTTGTTGCTTCATCTACCAGCCCTGAGAGCCTTTCCCAAGGGCCTGGAGCTGTCTGAGCAGATTCCCTCGGGAGCAGTAGGAATCAGGCAGGATTTTGGATAAACACAACCTCCCCATCCACAGAGATAAGCTCCCTGCAATATTTCTCTCAATGTGTTTTGCTTTCTCCCTTTCCCCAGAGGCAAAGGCAGGTGAATTCCCTCGTGGAAGCCCTCCAGGTAAAATCCAGCTTGGTGACTGCAGGATACAGCTCTGGAATCTGAGAATCAGCAAACAGCCCTGCCGGAGCATTTCACTGCTGGCTCTGGACTGGCATGAGAAACAGGGATCTGTGTTGGGTCTGTGTGGGATCTGTGTTGGGTCTGTGTTGGGTCTGTGTGGGATCTATGTGGGATCTGTGTGGGATCTGTGTCATGCTTCCAATCCTCACAGGATAGAATCCCTCCACTGTGTTTGTTAATTCTTCCTTGGAGAAAATGTTCCAAGAGGCCAAGGCGGTTGTGATTTCCTGCTGGGATTTTAGAGCCCTTCAGTGACATCCCAGAGAGGAGGCACCGAGGTTTTCTTTTATGTCCCTGCATAAAACCCCTCTTTGCTGCTGCTGATGTTGAAAACGTGAAGTCTGAATTTCAGCAGTGCTTAAGTTGTTCCTCTGAATGYGCATCCCTCTAATTCCCTGGGACAGGGACATCTCCCACTATCCCAGGTTGTTCAAAACCTCGTTCATCCTGACCTTGAACATTTCCAGGGATGGGGCAGCCACAGCTTCTCTGGGCAACCTCTGCCAGTCCCTCACCACCCTCCCAGGGAAGAATTCCTTCCCAATATCCCATCTATCCCTGCCCTCTGGCAGTGGGAAGCCATTCCCTGTGTCCTGTCCCTCCATCCCTTGTCCCAAGTCCCTCTCCAGCTCTCCTGTAGCCCCTTTAGGCACTGMAAGGGGCTCTGAGGTCTCCCTGGAGCTTTCCCTTCTCCAGGTGAACACCCCCAGCTCTCCCAGCCTGTTTATCCAGTGCTACCTTACCTCACTTTCCTGGGACAAAACCTCTGGATRTTTGTACCAGAGCGAGCATCCCAGTTTGCAAGCAGAGCTGTGCACGTGCTTAGATCAGGAAGCAGAAATGTGAATCTGCAAAATCCTGCAATTTCTTTTCAAAATTGATTTTAAAAACAAACATGGATGACTTCCTTCATTGCTGGTTGTATAAGGAGATTATTTTTGGCTTCAAGTATATGCCAATGTGACTCAGGCCCTTGAGGGCAGGGCTGTGTCACCAGGGCCGTGGTTATGGATTTGCAAATCTCTTCTCCCTATGGCAACCCCACCATCCCCTTTGCAAACAAACTGGGAAGGRCTTGGACCCAGCACAGGGATCCAAGGGAGGATTGAAACTCTTGCAGATGTTTGGGAAGATATGCAGATGGATGTGGCAGGAGCTGAGGTCTGATGGGAGATGTTTTGGGGTAAAACAGAAATAAAAGGAGTTGCCTTCTGATACARATCCAGATCTGGAATTACACATGAGGTCGGAAGGCAGCTCTGGAATCTGTGGTCCAGTTCCCTGTGCTGGTTTGGGAGAGAATTCAGCTGCTCTTCCCAAAATGTCGATGAAAGTGTCATTCCAAGGACCATTTCTGGTGAATTACAGAGTTTTATCAACTTTTCTTAGACTGCAGTAAGATGAAGGTGGACAGGGAACTGAGCTATCCTTCACAGKTCTCCCTTATTCATGGATGAAGAATATTTCATGSAGTAAAAGGATGGTTTGGGTCGAAAGAGATCTTCAAACCCATCCAGTTTCTGGGCAGGGACACCTTCCACTATCCCAGSTTGCTCCAAGCTCCATCCAGCCTGTCCTGGAAAAATTCCAGGGATCCAGGGGCAGCCACAGCTTCTCTGGGCAACCTGTGCCAGGGCCTCCCCACCCTTCCAGGAAAAAATTCCTTCTTAAAATCCAATCCAAATCTTTCAAACAGAATTCTTTCTCTTTGCTGGGACATGTTTACAACCTGATTTTTTTTTGTGGTCTAATTAATCATTTAAATCTCTTCACAAACCCCACAGAGTTTTTTATTCCATGAATTTTTGCAAAGGGCTTTGGTTCAGTGTCACACATGACGAGTCCCAGGTTTATGGCACGGCTTCCTTGACTATAAAATGAGAGAAATATTTATCAGCCAGCTTTGATGGCGAAGTTTTTGTGTC